AGGTAATTTTGGGAAACCCCCCATTTAGCTGTCGTGCATCCACAGCGTCAGTGATCCGGGAGAAGTGAAATTCTTGTGCCCTTCTGGGGGGGGAGGGGAGAGGTTAGAGTTAGGATTGTGGGTTTAGGGTTTAGGCTGGTTCGATTCAACGCTTGAAGCTGTATGTGCATGTAAGGGTCCAAGCACTCGTATATCAGAACACCTGGAACAAAACTCCTTGTTTTCAATGCTTCTAGAGTATCAACCTACTGTGTACTTGGTGAGCTAAGGTAACCCGGATGCGCCTGAGTTCCCATCATATGCCCTGGGCATCAACTATACCAGATCCGTGGCTATTTATGTGAGGGTTATTGTGGGATGAGCGGCTTCTTCTGCTAGCTTACTGGTTGTGAGTAGAGATGGATTCGGAGTGGGTTCTTATAGTAGCGATTGTGACAGAATGTCTGTCCATTTGACATAGGACTTGGGCACTAGCCTCCAGGTCACAGGCTCCAGGGCAACCCCACCCCCCCCCAAAAAAAGACACCCACGCCCAAAATAAAAAATACTCCCAGTGAAACGCCAAATTACGCGGGTGCTTATATTAATATCATAGGCCCCTAGACCCTAAATCTTATATGACGCCATTTGTTGGGGTTCCCATTTTGTTTTCCATTATCCCAATCTATCTCCAATATTATAACTTCCCGCAGGTGTAGATTTATCTTTACAAAGGGTTGTTGTGAGCCAGCGGTTGGTGATCTCTTTGGGAGTGGCTCAAGTCCTTTGTCAAAGGTCCTGCGCATGAAGGGGGTTCTTGGACTCAGGGTTCTGTGGTCTTAAGTAGATAGAATATGGCTATGTGTATATTATAATAAGATCCCCATATAACCCATGTTCTATCTACTTAAGGGGGACTAAATTTATTTTAGTGGAGACTTAGTCTTCTGTGTCATTCGTTTGTGTTGTGGCCGCGCAAAGTCTTAAAGAGTTTACAGGGACTGTCCATCAGGCATCGGCAGACAACCAACAAATCCAAATTCGATGGCTCCAAACTCTTACCTCTTTGCCCGCGAAGTAGATACCAAGCCCCAAGCCGTACAGCAAACGCAGCTGACGCCCTGAACCCAGGCGCGATGAATGAGGATCTGCCGCACATCGTCACTGGCCTATCCAGTGGGTACTGTTCAACCTTCCCAAAGGACCTATATGGTATAAATTAGGGTTTCTATGCTAGGAACTTGTAATATGTTTGAGGTTACTATACTTAGGATCCTTTGGGCTTTGTACAGTGGTACACTCGCGCGATAACGCTGGGGTGGGCCATCATAAAGGTATTGCCTTATTTTTTGTGGGGTATCAGGAAACATCTAATTCTAGCAGAAAGGGTACTTTTTTGAACAGTCCTGGGCTAAGGTCACCTTTGTGAGATCAAGCCAGCAGGCGGTGACCATTGCTTTCAAAATCGAGGACGCGGTTTTGACTTTTGTGATGGGAACTACGTACCAATACTATTCTGGGCCCAAGCCTTAGTATAAGGTTCAAGCTAACCTAAACCCTAAATAGTAGTTTCCATTTTATTTTGCATTATCCCCAAATACCCCAAGATAGCCCTAATATTACCCCTTCGGGCGGCCCAAAGCCCTGTTATTCAAGGGTTCTAGGGGTTTAGGGTTTAGGGTTTAGGTTCTAGGGTTGTACCCCTGGGTTTGGGATCCTTCTAAGGGACCCTAGAGGGTTATATTAGCTCAAATACGGGCTAAATTAGAGCCATATTGGGGAAACCCTTTAGGGGTACGACCTTGAGGGTACAACCCAGGAAGCCTTGAATCATATTTTTCCCCCTACAGTACCAGTGTCTGCCTAACACTCTTTCTCGTCAAGCATCAACACATCTCAGGAAGATCACTCCCAATAAGAAGCACGCTTCCATGTCACATTCCCCAATTGGCTGCTGCATTTCTTAACCGTAGGGAAGGAGTTCGTCTTGTCGCAGGAAGGGCTGGGTCCCCTTTGAATCCCGCACCCTAAATCCTACCTGGACCCCAAAAGTATGTAACATAATGGCCCGCATGGCTGTTATTATGGGTTCAGGGCTATATCTTACATACTTCGGGGATTTTATGTGAACCCTAACTTGAACTTTGAGCCTGTCATGTCATAATGTGAAGGACGCCACTGGGGCAACCGTGGTTCCACAAACTACGGCAAGCTTGGTTGCAAGTTACGCTTACGGCCCGTTTCACGAGGACAGTTGACGGGGGCGAATTCGCACCCAAGATCCTGAAGCCCCACAGTTAAGGGTTTAGAGTTGAGGGCTTAGAACTTGTAGGAAGGAGTCAGATAGGTGTGGAGAGGCTGCCTCGGGCATCCGGCACTCGCCAGCGTAGGAGGGTTCATCTGGAGGTGCATACCTCAGATTCTTCGGGCGACTAATTTTGCACATGAAGCATCATAGCATAGCCCTGAAGCTATTCTGCAACTGAGCACGTCACGAAGGGGTAGAGTCTAATGCTAGGGTCCGTGTCATAGTGTGGGTGATAGGGATGCAAAGATGTCCCTGGGCCTCAGGCTCCACGTACACTACTGTCTTTCCGTTTCCCTAAACCCTGAATGCCAACCCTGATTGTTAGTATCAACGCAATGAGAACACATGTTTTGGGGACGAGGCTACCAAAATGAGGAGACAGCTGCAACCATTCCCGGCCCCAATAACTCGCAAAATGAAACTCTTCCACCTCTTCCTCCTGCTGTTCCTTTTCTGCACTCTCCTACTTCAGGTAGCTACGGCCCCAGAGACCCAGACTATTATTACCACCATCAGATTTGTAGAGATTGGGCCGGCAGAAACTCCCTGGGGGTGGGTGTGCTAAAAGGACCCCAGCAGTTGTCCTCTAAGTTGCTTTTTGGGTGGTACATTAAAAATCATTAGAGTGCATGCCTTGCCAAAACACCATTATTGACCATAAGTAACAAACCCGAAAAAGAACTGCATGGGAGCCCTTGGGTAGGCAGAGAATTACAGAGTTGCCTTGCTTCCTGTCTCAGAACTTGGTCGTCGGCATGCCTTAGGAGGACCCCCCACCTTGATAGTGGTATAATAGGAATATAAGAGGACCCTAATATAATCCTTATTATCCATAATAGTCGCTATTACTGGGTGGGGGGTCCACCTAAGGCATGCCGCGCGAGATAAGCGCCCAGCGCATTGGTAGGGATCCTTCTGAGCAGCTTTGTTTCGTTACCGCTCCCAGCAGTCCGCAGCAGTTAACTCAGCTGCTCAGTCAGAAATCGTTTTCCACGATCCTAAGGCGGCATGCAACCCTAAGCGCTGAACATGTCCAGGCGGTAAGTCTTGGGTTTCTCGGAGACCTATTCTTGCTATGGCCATGAACGTGCGTTTCGGAAGAATCGTACATTCGTTCGGTATATGGGGGTTTGGGTTTTTAGGGATTATAGGGTATATATTGGGGTTATATTGGGATAGTGGAAAAGAAAATGGAAACTACTATAATATATGGCAAAAAGAACGAGCAAAGAAGCTCATCATGCACGGTGAGAGAAACCTGTGAGCGCGCAGAACCAGTATCTCAAAGCCGCCCATTGCTCAGCGCCGAATCCCCAAACCACAGCCGAACCTTTGGGAAACCAACGCAGATGCTTGAACAATTCCCAATACCATTACCTTGTAGCTTATCACCTTTATATGACTACAGTATAGAAAGCACCACCATGCTGAATCAATGGCCCCCAGACCCTACGATCAATATACCAACCCCTATATAAATCCTGGTTCCCCTTCATTTTCCATGTTCTTTGCCATAGGATTCCTTGATACACCCTCGGGAAGCTACCTGTGTGGCCCAGGTAAGCTTGCAGGCGTTGAGTAGCACTGTCCCAGCCTCTTGCACATGTCGCTTGGTTGAAGATGCATGTGGCTCAAGGGGTCCAGGCACCCAATCACCAAGACTCTCCCAATACCTTTGCAGGGAATTAAAGGGATTGAAAAAAAGAGGGGTCCAGGAAGTTGCAATCTGTGTAGCTTGGGACTTAAGTCCCAACATGTTTTGTAGGGCCTGTAGGGTGCCTGCACCCTTTGTGTGGTGGAAGGTGGGAGGCAAAAAATGTTGGGAGGTGGTGATAGACGGTTCCGACAGGCTCGATTCGGTCGATACGATCGTCGATCCGATTTGATGCCGGTGTTTGCGATAGGTTGGCTAGGCTAGGCATGACTTGGCTCTGGCACAGTCGGGTACTTGTGAGCGTGCTAGACGCTCTACGGCACTTATACATGAATGTGGCACTATGGGCGGGCGGTGGGGGGCTAGGGGGTTACTGTAACTTTTGCTTAAGGAATCACTGCAAGATGCGAGTGATAGGGCTTCAGGACACTTGGAGGGCCAGGAGGCCTTATAGTAATTTGAGTTAAGACCCCTTCAAACACATAGTGATCGAAGGTATTTACTTGCTAAGTCTCCCTGCCCCTCCAAGTATGGCAGATGCTTGATGCTGTGCGATGCTGTGCGTTTTTGCAGGCGTAGCTCCATGCCTTTCACCTGGAACATACACCACAAGGACAAGTTGCATGGAACATTCCGTGCCAGACACGAAAAACCCATTACCGCATGGATTTTCGGCGTGCCCTGAAGTTTGAACGGTTGAAACCACAATTCAAAGTTCTGCATGGTGGTAGGCGTCAACAATCTGCCTCGAGAGTTGGCTCTGTATACGCACTAGCTGTACAAGGTCCCTACCTACTAGAAAGTTTGCGGCATACCTACATAATTGCACAGATTGAAGAAATCTTACAACACCTAGGGCACCTAAACTTCATAACTTCTAGGACTTAGGGACCTAGGGTGGTGGAAGATTTCCTCCATCAACCGCATCCCGCTTGGCCCGTGAAACTCCTCCCCAAGTCTCTCTCCAGGCTCCATGCCAACAATTCCACCGGAGGTGGAAGGAACCTATGGAGCGCTGCTAAACCAAATTTAGGGTTTAGGGTTCAGGGTTTAGGGGTTTGGGGGTTTAGGGGTCTAGGGTTTAGGGGTTTTGGGTATTGGAAACCTAGACCCTACACACTAAACCCGAACCCCTAAACCCTAAACGATGATTGTTTAGGGTTTTGGGTATTATTGGGTCTACCCAAGGAGCCCTATGTAGTTCCTTTGTTGGTTTGAATTTGAATCATTTTTCGATAAGAAAATCAAGTGCCAACCAACAAAGAACTACATAGGAGGTTCTGGGTAAGGTTGAGGGTCCAGGGGAATGGGACGCCTGAAATCTCTTGCTGCTCTTCAGGGAAGACCCTGCAATAAGGACTATATCGTTTTGTGAGTGCATAGGCGGACCTTCTTTTCAACAAATACAGAATTGGAATCAAGCATTACTTGCGTTTTTGAATTACCGTGGTTTGAGCTAGTGGTTCAGGCTCTTTGACTATATGTTCAAAGATGAGGTATTGTAGAAGCATGCACATGCAGAACAGAAATGTGGGCCACAAGTGCCCCAAACCCAAAACTGCATTGTGCTTCTGTGAAGGGCGGGATTTGCCCCAGCACGCGGCAGATAGTAGAGCTTGTGCGACCTTTGGGACCCACCCAGTAATGCCGTTATGTTAGGAATAGTTAAGTAGGTACCCTGGTATAGGCATGTGGTGGCCTAGCCCAAAACAAGCCCGGAACAACGTTGCATCCATTTCGGAATCTGCTTGTCGTGCCGCTAAGGCTGTTGTTACACGGGTGCACTTGCATGGTGTAAATGGTTCAGTGAAAATGCATGCCAGAACTGGCATGCCCGCTGCTTCCTTTAACTCATTTTCCAGTGGCTTGGGCGCAAGTGTACTTATCGGGTCCTGCGCCCGGTGCCCATGTCATTAGAAGACGTGTTTGTTGCGCATAGCTTGCGTATCTGCACGTTCCAAGAAATGTGAGGGAAGGATGAGATTACGTCTCCCTGGCTCCTGTATGGTAGATTTCATGAGTAAGGGGACCCCGATATAGACCCCAAAATATTAATCCTTTCCCCCTAATTAAGATTAAAGGGCTCCCCTCCTTATGTTTCTACTCCGAACCTTGTTTATTGTAAGTGGGGTATTTCTCGTACGACCCGGACATTGGCGGGGGAGGGTAATACAATAGGGCCCTTATTAAACTCCAATTAAGATCATGTAAAATCCGATTAGCTCGCATAAAACGATTAAATCAAAACAAAATCGTAAGTAAACAAACCGTAACAAAACCATAAATCAAATTAAAAGCCGTTGAAATCGAATGAACATCTAAGTAAAACTAGTTCAAAAATGTAACCAAACGCATTAGAATCTGTTTAACATTTTATCGAAGTACAAATAACATCTAATCACCAACTAAATACAAGCGGCTTAAAAATGGCAATAAGCCCAATTACACCGCATTCCGATTTTATATATATATATACACATGCATTTTTTCGTTCGACAAACATTAAAAAACCAGCCAAGTCTAGGAAATCAACGAGACCCCAAATCCTAAAGAGTCGTGCTAGGGACCCCCCCGACCTAATTCAGAGGATCCGAGCTGTCATTAACTGTAGTCTGGGCTCTTTTAAAAGTAGTCTTGGGGGCAGATTTCAGAATCTGGATTTGTGGGAAGACCGTATTTATTAATCTTGGAGGGGGTTTATATTAGGGGGAAGGGATTATATAGTCCTTAGTATAGTACATTGTTTCGTTGAATTCGTCGCCAGCTAGGGACACTTTAGAGTCTCGGGGCTCCTAAAATCCAATCTGTCATTCAAAGCTGTGTAGACTTTTCTAGAGAATTCGGGCTCGCCTACGGATTCTCAATTCATTATTTTAGGGTTTAGGGCTTAGGGTGTGGCAGGCTGGAAAAGAGGGGGCCTGGGTGCTAAGTTACTAGGGGAGCTTTGGCGGAAGTATTTTGTGCCGGTTTCTAAATTTTTTCTGCTTCTTCCGTGGCCACACGAGGAACTATGGAAGGCAGTGCCAAGCATGGGACAATGCAAAGTGCGACGAATGGTGGGGCGACATTTCGGTTGGCAAATGGTGTTGCCGTCCATGGCTCTCTGTCTGGTACGCAAAAATTTTTGTCAATAGACCCTCCACCTACGCTCCATTAGGCTCTAAGCACAATCTTAGTGTCCATAAACCCCCAATTCAGGGTGCTAGTAGGGGCTTGGTATATCAGCTGGGTTGCTGGTGTTACGGTATTTGGTTACGTTACTGTAATAAGGAAATCCAATTTTGATTTTTTGCCCCTGTTATGGTAGCTTAAATTTCTTTCCTTAACAGCAGCCCAGTAGAGGGGCCCCTAAGTTGGCCTCAACCAAGAAAACAAATGAACTGTAGTCTAAACTCCTTAAAGGGGGGATATATAGGGGATTATATTATATAGGGGTTATAAAGGGGGATACTAGGAGTTTAGACAGTAGCTCAAATGACCTTGAATGGAAACTTTGCACAGATATGCCAGCGTGAGATTTCTTCCTGCTATGTTATCTGGAGGTCCTTGACTTAGTAAGTCGACTTATAGTGCTCAGTATCAGCTCAGTTGCCAGGCTACCTGACGCGTCAAGTAGGGAGAACATGATAAGATAAAGGCTGTTCCGCATCCAAAGAGCTTAAGCGAAGTGCGAGATGTGTACGTCTACTTTCCACTCACCCCGAACTATACGGCACCCCCGCAAGGGTGGGTGAAAAGTATGGTCCCCCTCAATTAACCTAAGTAAGAGGGACATGTCAAACATAATAATGTGGTCCTGGCCCAGAACACCATGTTTACTATCTACCATGTGGGTGTCTTCGTGCAGTCAAAGAACTTGGATTGTTTGTCTTTGCAGACGTGGTAGTTTCAATAAAAGAGGGGGACCCCGCTGTGGACCCCAAAAACGGTCGTCCTCGTTAAAGGTAGCCCTAGAACTCGGGAAACCAACCTAGGTGCTATGCCAGCAAAGATTGTCCGGATGCCTATTCCAGCTCCTTGCTGTCTGGGAAACTGGGTTGCTGTTAAGGAACTTAAGTTTAAAGCATCATAATCGGGGCATATATAGTAATTAATGAGGTTTCCTCTATATAGTAACTTCAATTAAGTTCCTTGACAGCAAGCCAGGCAATATTTCAGTTACGCGGCCTGCAGCTCCTTCAACCCGGCCACACTGGATTGATTCAGAACTGAGGGTTTAGGGGACATAAGATTTCCGTCTTGAGCTGAATCTTTCTAAGCCCTAAGCCATATAACCCCTACAACCTCTTTAAAGGCACCCAAATCCTATCTATAAACCTTCCTTACCCCTATATGCCTAAACCCCAACCCCTAAGGCGCCATTTTTAAGATGTCCCTCGGAGAGCCATCCCAGGTGACCCCATGCACTTGGGAAACTGTCGCCGCCAACAATGATCCTTGCAAGTGCAAGAGCCTGGTTCATTGTTGAACATACTTATAAGTTTGAGGTTGCTTTAAAAGGGTTGTAGTGGATATAGGGGTTATAGGGCTTGTAGGGCTTCCCAAAATTTAGGGGTATTTGTTGGGGAGTCCATATGCAATAAGTTTCCAACAATTAACATCTAGTTATGACTTGTACCTGCTAGTTGTCAGTCTTCTACGATGCTGCAATCCAATAATGAACGCATAGTTTGGACCTCAAAAAATTGTGTTGCGCCCCCTCACCGTAAATGTCTTTGAAGGGGCTTATTTCATGGGCTGTGAGATACCTGCTACTGTGAGGGCGACTCACCTAATGAACACGCTCATCAGTTGTCACTAGGCTACACACACTAAGGAACATAACGTTCTGGTTGTTAGTGGTATCCCAGTGTGGAACTAGGAGCCGTGGCACTTAGAACTTAGGGGTAAAGAATGAAGAACCGCATGGGCAACCAAATGGACAATAAATTGGACAGTGGGAAATGCTTCGAACTTTTGTAAAGGGTCCTAGCCGGTTTGACTTCTTTTGCAGGCCGATGACATGTCGTTGGCTGTGCCGTAACCTGTAGTTCTGAAAGGTCTGTCTGCAGACAAGACTTGTATGTTGGGTACTGCCCCGCCCAGCAACAGCCAGAATATTCAGAATATGATTGCTATAGACTGTTACTGGGTGGGGGCAGGACCCAACTTGTATGCAGAGTATGTACATGTTTTCTTATCAAAGGCGAGGTATGCAACAGCTGAGAAGCTTGGAGCAACGCATTGAACCCCTAAACTGGGTTGCGGCTGTTAAGGAAATTGAACTAAGTTACTGTATTGGGGAAGCCTCATCATTCATTATATATATATAACCATTATTGTAGCTTCATTTAAGTTCCTTGACAGCAGCCCAGTAAACTTCAAAACCATGCGTGCCATAAATCCTGAGCAGCAATGATAAGGAACGCGTCGTCCCTCTTCAGTGATGACATGAAAGCAAAGTTTTCGGGCGACTACGGCTCGACGCGGCTCAACAAGGTTTAGGGTTTAGGGTTTAGGGATGTTTGGGGTGAAGGGGAATTTCAAATTCACGGGCCCTTGGCTATTGAATTTTAGCTTCATTCAGGTGTTTGCATTTGAGCACGCAATCATGCAGCTCTTGCGTGATACCACCCCGCGCCCTACAGATTTCAAATGGTAGTTTCCTAAAATAAGTGGTCCCCAATATAGACCCCAAGATACTATAATCCTTCTTATTGGGACCCCTAAAAAGGTACCCCTCATTTTGGGAAACTGCCAATTAGGCTTCACCGTATGGGGCTGGTCTAGGGAACATGCGTATGATTTGTGAATCTAAAGCATGTAAGTACATGCGACAATATAGAAGCTACAAATACCAGAGTGCGAATGTGTGTCTCAATAGCTTTAGTTCTGAACCCTTTTGTCATTATGTCTCAAGATATATGCTTATATCCTGGCAGCCCCCGTAGTCCCCTAAACCCTAAACCCTAAACCCTAAACCCTAAACCCTATTCAACAAGCAACTGAGGTGTGGGAGCTGGGATGTGCAGACCTGCGCTACAAACTACCGCCCAGATCAGGCATACCGCTTTGTGGGTAGAGTTTAGGGTTTAGGGTTTACCTGGAGCCCTAAGCCCAAAAGTGCGTGATTCAGACTGGGCCCGGTAGACCTGCCTGGTGAACTCCCAAAATTCCCCACGAAGCCCATGACACTACCAGAAGCCTCTAGAAGCTCATTGGTATGTGCCGAAACTGACATAATTGGATCTGTGCAGGGAACAGTATCCCTATGTTACTGAAAGTCCTCCCGCATGGGAGCTTCCGAAAGATGACCGCCCCTAGAGTAAGGAATGTTGTAGATTGAGCTCTTCGTTGGAGTCTTGCTATTTTCTGGAAACTAAGCTGCAGTTTTCTACGTAACTAACAGGTGCATTGGCGCCAGGAAGCAGCTCTCATCTGCTTACAGTGTTCGACCCTGGACCCTACCTTAACCTACCAAAATCTACTTTTTTGTAGGTTCCCTATGAATTCGATATTAATTCTTATAAGATGACTCTACGAAAAAGTAGGTTTTGCTAAGGTATAGTAAGACGCGCACAGCAGCAAAATAACAGGAATGTCACACATTGAGCCCCTCACACGTCGTAGCAGTTGTAACAGTACTGCTGATTCTCCTCGGCATCCTCTTGATGCTAGTGCAGAACATGCTGTTACTTTGTCATGACCTTTCACGGCTCGCCAGCGCGTTTGCTAAAAAGCGCCACCATTGCTAGACAACAAAAGTGAAAAAATGGTAACCCCACTAAAGCTGCTAGCCGTACTTGCATCATGCCGCATCCTCGTCAAAATTTGTTCCAGGTCGACACGTGGTGCTGCGCCAGCTGGTGCTATGTGGACAAGGAGTGCCCCAGTGCAATTCAATCACTGAACCCTGGGATGGCATCCTGGATTTGACTGGTCAAGGTTTAGGGTTTAGGGTTTAGGGTTCTAATCAGTCCGCAAGGGCGAGAGCAGTAATTCCCTCATAACCCCTGTTTATCACCAAGTTCCCTAGAGTACCCATCCTCATATTAAAGCCTAAACCTGAACCCTACCATGGCAATATGTGTACTTGGCGGTCATCACCAGGGTTCTCGCGTGCCTTCTAACCCTTCAATTGCATATTGGCTGTTGACGTAGACTAGGGCATGTGGGACTTTGATTCTGAAACTTCTAGGCAGAATTTTGTTCGTCTGGTGTCGACGATGGGGCCCGTAAGCATCACACCCATGGCCACTTTTACAGGGATGCCCCAACAGGCGGCAAGATTTTGAGAACCCCCGTACGCATGTCTGAATATTATTATCCCATGCAGTCCTTGAGGGCGCCCATTAAACAATCTTCTCAGAGCCGCTATTTACTGTAGGGTCCCCAAAGGCCCCTTTTGTCTGTCACAACGCCAATGTAAGGAAGGCATTCTGTTTTGGTCAGACAACGTTTGCCCAGATGATACGGCGTTGGTGGTGCAGTGCCCCTACAAGCCTCAGCCAAACGTATCAGCGGATGATACGAGATGCAACTGCTTGAACATTACAATGCCGTCGAGCATCATCGAAGGCTTGGGGTTGAATGCGAGCGACTATGCAGACTATGGGCAGCAATGTGGGCCTCATGATGCATGGAATTGTGAGGTATTCTACCCGAACGCCGATCATGATATGTGGTGCTGCACGTCTTGGTGCTGGGTAGATGCAAGCTGCCCAAGCAGCCGCGCATCCACAGTTTGGCCTGGCAAGTTCTGGAGTACGGAAAGGTGTGACCTGGTCCCTGATGCTTGCTAATGGTTAGTATGGAGGAATGGATCCCCATAGGATAGTCCTTATACAACCCCCCTTACAGTCCTGTTAACTCATTCTCTCACTCGCTACCAACCACAATTAAGGATGTGGTCTCGGGCTGCAAATACAACGTAGAGGCGTGTGCTTGCCGGGGTTCATTGCCAAGCGGCGTCCTTCCGGACACTTTCGCCGCGGACTATGGTAGCTCCTGCAAAGCTTGGGACAACACATCTTGCAAAGAGGTTTGGTACCATAATCCGAATTCTGGTTGGAACAGTTCCAGTGACCATGAATGGTGCTGCGATGCCTGGTGTTACGTGAACCTGGAGTGTCCCATCGCAAAGCAGTCTTGGTTGGGGACAGGCTATTACTTCAGCTACGAAACTTGCGATGATCCCCCTGCCACCTACAATGAGGCCGCAGACACCTGCGATGCCACCGCGCGGCGACTTCGCGAGTCGGATTCGGGCAGCGGCCGGCAGCTCTCCGCCCGACGTCGCGGAGGCGGATTCTCCAGCTCCCGCCGCTCCTTCTCCTTTTCCTCACCTCGGCGCCGATCTCCTTCTGCTCCCGCCACCGCCCCTCGGCGCCGGTCCAGCTCGGCACCCAGCTTCTGGAGCCCACGGAGGCGAGCACCAGTATCTCCCCGCCGCCGCTCAGTGCGCCGACGAGCGCCCCCGCCACCCGTCCCCACGCCCTTGAATTCCCGGCGCCGCGTCACAAGCATGGATGGAAACGTCTACACGGCAGGGCAGACTCCATATGGCTACAACAGCCGGCCAATGCTCATGAACAATTACGGTGGTACCATGCCCTATCAAACTCCTTATGGCTACTCCGGCTACAACGCCTACCCTCCCAACAACAATCCCAACGTTGCCATGTATGCTGCTGGTGGATTTGTGGTCGGTGCTGGCTCGATGTATGCCTACAATAGCATGTACGGTGACGCCTACAACTATGAGATGTTCAGCAGGCCGCGGTTCAAATTCCACATTGCCACAAGGGTACCTGTCAGTAATTAAGGGGCATCTGGGACTCATCCTTGGCTATGGCTATCTAGAACCCTAAAAATTCCCCAAACGCTAAACTACACTATAGCTTGCCCCAGCAAAAGTTTGGGCAAAATTCACGAACTTGCCCCCAACCCGGAGGCGACGGATTTTCGGCTACCGCAATCCAGATTACTGCATTGTGAATGCTGAAGGAAGCCGACAAGGAGACTTCATGGAGCCTGGGCTCAGGTTTAGGCTTTAGGGTTTAGGGGTGCAGAGTTGGGAGTTGTGGTAATTATCCCAGAGGGTCCACATATACAACCATCAGGGAATTGGGACCCATACTTCCTTCTATAGTATGGTATTTTGGGGCCTAAGTCCCTAATAGTTGCATATATGGACCCTCTGGGTATGATATTTCTCAACAAGATAGGCTTTCTCGGGATGCCAGAAGATTCCATCGCGCGGTGTGTTCGAATACAGCAGTCTCAAAAACAACAGTGGTTCTTTGATTTGGAAACTTCCCATGTTCAAGAGTCTGCTAGACTTTAATGTTGCTTCTGTCCTTCTAGGATTTACAAGCTCCAGGTATGTGCATGGCCCAAAGGACTGCCCAGAAAGAACTTTGCGGCTGTGGTGTAGACTGCAAAACTCCTTGGGACTTAAGCTTGGGCCTTAAACCCTGAACCCTTTGGGATGTCCTTACACACCTATTATAGGTACCTAAGGGTTAACCCTTAGTAGAGGTCCTAATGCCACATAGAAAACTAGGTAAGATAATGGCCCAAAGCCCCCTAAGCACGAGCCACAAGGCCACTATACCGGGATTTATTGCGGGGAATAAGGGAATATACTATGTAGGAGTTATATAGGGCTCATACTCCCTTTGTAAGAACCAGTAGGTTCTGGGGTTTTGAGGTGCACATACTTGGACCCTCCCAAGGGCGGGCCAAATCTACAGTTTGAGCCCCTCGAAAAGTTCAAGTTTAGGGTGTATAGTGTTTATAGGGATTATGGGGCTTATAGGGTGTATAGAAGTTATGGGGTTTATAGGGTTCGTAAAGTTTATAGAGCTTAGGGTTTAAAAGCCCCAAGGTCCCAAGTAGCCATCATTTGAGTGCTTGAGATGTGGGTAATAGGGGTTGTTGTACAGCTTTGGGGAAGGTATATGTCATCTTGTACGTGGGCCCCGTTGAGAAACATCTCTGTTGATTTCTCATTCTTTTGACGTCGTTGACGTCTCGACACCTGATCTTCACTGTAGTACATTAGGGCTATAAAGGGACAATGGAAACAACATGAAAACCATTGTAGTGGGGCCCTAAACCTAGTAAATGGAGGTCTTCCAGAGAGAGGTCTGTGATTGGTTGGATATCGTGGGATTATAGAGCATAGGCCAGCTAAGACAGGCTTGCTGTTAAGGAGCTGAATTTACGGTCCTCCTCTAGGAGAGAAACAACAACTGCATGGAATAGATTTGAATCATTTGCTAGAGTATTTCAATGCAGTTCTACACCCCTAAACCCTAAACCCAATGGCCAGGATCCTCAGAAGCATGGTTTCCGCTAACTTCATTTAATAGCACCGGCCGTGAGACGTGCTCAGGAATGCCAGCAATGCTACCGCTTGTATGGCTTCAGCGAATGTCCTTCAGCGCGCTCATGCAATACGCCAACGGGCTGCAGATACACCACTCGCCGGAGTCTCCTTGCGGCACACCGGTTTAGGTTTAGGGCTGAGGGTGGTTTACGGGTTCACATCCACACTTGCAATGGCTGTAATGTTGCGCTCTCTTTGGTCTATTCCCCCCTCCCTCCCCCCTAACAACATTGCCTCCAGAAAATTGAAAAATAGGCGTCCTCAATAAGGCTCTCACGGTACTGATGGCCCTGGGGAGGCCCTTGGAAGTACTCTAAGAGGGGATGGTCTGGATTCGGTTGGGGGCCCACAACCAAAACACATTAAGGAGAGTCGCGAAACCATAGACCAAAACTCTTCAAGCGGCGGCCAAAACTCTTTCAGGAGGCTTTCTTGGCAAAAGTGAGTGCAACATTAGGAAGGACTGCTGCAATTGTGACATCGAGAAGGCTCGTAAATTTCAATGACTGAGCCCAGCACACTGTCACAGGCATTGACTTGCAGTGGGATTGAGACCAAAATCTTAGCCTGATTCTGGCAAGCTGTGGGACAAATTAGGACGTCCCCACTTAGACAGACCTACCTGTGCCCGTCTCATCTAGGTAAAGAGTTGAACCATCCAGGTAAACAGTTGAACCATCACCACGAAACCTCAAGCGACAATCACCGAATGGCGATCTGCATGTTTTACAATGGCAAGTGTTGCGAGTCGCGCAGTTGATCATGGGTGGTTGAGAGGGCTTAGGGCTTAGGGTTCCTGAGAGGCACTGTAACCAGCTCTAGTTGATCACGCCCCTATGTTGTATGAGGCCTAGGGAAAGGAAGTTCCATAGTGGTAAGCTTCAACATATTTCTGAGGTGGCCGACAAACGATAGCAAGGGATGATTCTGTATACATATAGGCCGGGCTCGAATACAGAAATAGACCGGTTTGGCCAAGCCCATTACACCGTGCACGCTAAATCAAACATTATTGTTCTTATTATTACTTTTACTAGTACTATTACTATTTCGATTACTATTACTATTGCTAGTACTATTGCTATTACTATTATCATTAGCATTACTATTTTGAGGCTGTGACAAAGTTTCGACCTTCCTCTGAGTAGGAGACCATCCCCAAGCAGTAGGTAAACACAGGAGCCTGCCCATCTTGGTAAGCCCCGCACCAACTGGCAAACATGGGTGCTTGTCAAAATTATGGTCCCTTTTTGAGTAGCCTAAATATTAGGCGCCATAGTATAACAGGGATTCAAAAAGGGACCATAATTTTGACGACCACCCACATGCATTCCGTCTAAAATGCGTTGCATGCTCAGGGGATCATAGCTAACATCACGGTATTGTGCTGTTTAATCAATGGAGGGATTCGCTGTTGGAAGAACGGTGCCACGTGGCCTTCGGCTTCCCGAAACATTACTGGGTTGCTCTTACGGAACTCAGATTAAGTTACCATAATATGGAATGGTAAATATCAGCGTTTCCTGATTACAGTAACCCTAAACCCTGGACACATAACCACTATGGGTACGTAGCAAATAATAGGGTCTCCTTGCTATAGTAGCTTAACTTAAGTTCCTTAACACCAACCCAGTAAAGAGGTTACTTGTTAGCATTGGTATTGTTCTTATTACCATCATTAGTAACATGTTCATTTGAGCTATAGTCTAAACTCCTAGTATCCCCCTTAATAACCCCTATAGTAGTCCCCTATATAATCCCCTATATAACCCCCTTTAAGGAGTTTAGATTATGGCTCATTTGACGGCAACCTAGATTAAGTTGTAAATGCAGGTTTAGGGATCTTGCTTCGCAATGCCGAGGGGGACCTGGAGTCTATATGAGCTATAGCCTAAACTCCTTAAAAAGGGGGTTATATAGGGGATTATATAGGGAACTACTGTAAGGGTTATTAAGGGGGATACTGGGAGTTTAGACTATGGCTCATATGGGGGTTTGAAATTTTGGGGTCCCTTGAAAGTAGCTTATAGGTGTTATTTACGGTTATATGGAGTTTGTGTTGAGTATATCTGGGGTTCAGGGTTTCCTGAAATTTGGGGTACCCTTTTGCGGTACCTATAGTAAGGACTGTAGTATTTGGGGGTCCAAATTTGCGTCCCCCTATTTTGGGAAACTACCCATATTCATGTTGAGGTTATACCGGGGAAGCCCTGTGTAGGGGTATAAACCTTGGGGCTAGAACCCGAAAAGCGAAAACCCTTAAACCCTGAACCGGAAACCCTAGACCCTGAAGCCTAAGCCATATAAACCCAGTAAACCCTAAACCCTATAACCCCTAACCCTAAACCCTAAACCCTATAAACCTTAAACTCATGCCATGAGGCTACAACAGAGATGACCTGGCAGCTACTGGTTTCATCCCAAGCCAGTTCGTCCCGCCACTGAAGGCCGGCGAAATCCTCGTCCCGCCCCAATACCGGTTTGGGGTTTAGGTTTGGGGTTTAGGGTTTAGGGGCTTAGGGTTTGGGGTGTAGGGGTTTAGGGTTTAGGGGTTTAGCGGCGTACTTGTTTTCACTTTTTGTGCGTCCCTGAAATTTTGGCCAAACGGATCTCTGCACGCGTGGGGGTGTCTCAGAATCTATGGGGTCCTTGCTTAGTCGGCCCGTCAAAGCAGATCGTATGGCCTATGGCCCGATGATATATACACGTTGGGTACTGCCCCCACCCAGTAACAGTCTATATTAAGGGTCCTATTAAGGGCTATATAGACCCATACTATAATTATTATCCAACTGTTAGTGAGGGGGGGCAGTACTGAATATACACGGTTTAGGGCTTGGGCTTCGACTTCCGGAATTCGTCATATGGGTTGTTCTCAAAACTATGGGCCCCTTTTGGTTATAGATTATATTATGGCACCTAATATTTAGGGGTATCAAAATGGGACCCTAATTTTAGGAACGACCCACATGCATACGTAGGCGCAGATATGTCAAAGTAAGTCTAGGATAAACCACACCGTCTCCTAGTCCAGGTCCTAGGGTTTAGGGTTTAGGGTTTAATTAAACCTGTGCCCGAAGCAGGAAGCCGGTCTTGGCCCAGACAAAAGTAGGGTTTTCCTAAACCTGGGGGTGCCGTGTTGGGGTCTCCATAATAAGGATTATTCTGTGTTGGGTCCATTTTTGGGTCTCCCTGTTTGTCGAAAACCGCCAAACCGCCTTCATAGCTCAAGAAAGATTGTAAGTTGCTCGCAACCAAACTTTTCCTGACGGACGGCCCATTTGCAGCACCCTAAATTCTAAGCCACCTTTTGCAGGTGACGTTCACCCAGATCACGGGCGCGGGCATTGATCCAGATCCCATTACCGGCATTTGCCCTCCTACCACCAGAGCTCAGGCCGAGCCGGCTTGAGGGTTTACGGTTTAGGGCTTAAGGTTTAGGGTTAGGGTTTAGGGTTTACGGTTGACGGTTTTAGGGTTTAGGGCTTAGGGTTGCTTGGGGGCCTTGCAAACAAGCAATAAGTGATCTTCGCTGGGGACCCCTCTGCTCTCATTGCAATCTCCTTATATCAGGCAAACACAAGGTGCTGAGCCTCCAGGCTTGGAATAATCCAGATTTAACAAACAACATCCCTAAGGGTCCAAGTACCCATGAGGTACTTTGGGCTTGGGTAATAATAATTATAGTGCAGGTTTTGGGGAAGTATATGTTAAGGATCTTAATTTAAGTTACCATATTATGGATTCATGGTAAATAATGGGGCCTCCTTATCATAGTACCTTAGCACACGTTCCTTAACAGCAACCCAGTTTCCACAGCCCGGCTGCACTCATCTGCGGGAGGAGGCCTAGACTTCAGGAATACAGCGGACCCAATAACCTTCGGTTTAGGGTTTAGGGTTTAGGATTTAGGGTTTAGGGTAATTACTAGCCGTGTACTTGCCCCAACCCTGTGTGATACTCATCACTATGCAAAACTCAAGTACCAAATCATTGGATGCTTGGAGCCTAAGCCCTGGACCCTACATATCCCAGATATCCCTATAATACATCCCCATTATAAATGCCTTTTCAAGGGACCCAAGTAAATGCGAGCTTCTGAACCGGAATCCCTAAACCAGTCAAGCCAAGGCTGAACTCATCGAAACTTTCAATAAGACCATGTCCTTCCGTCCCGACCTGCCCCTCGGCTTTTCTGCTAGGTGTAGGGTTAAAGATCAGGGGTTAGGGCTGAGGGCTTAGGCGGGAGGAGGAGGTGTTCAGAGGCAGCAGGAACAGGAGGTTGTTATTGTTGATCGAATGTTCTCCTTCGTTGTTTTTGGCTGATGCCTCGTATGCTATCCATTAGATGTCCCAATTCATGACCATCCCTGCCATACTGTAGAAACCTAAATTATTGCCAACATCATAGCCCTGAGTCCATTATATGATTTTAGTGAGGGGTACCTCGAACAGACCTTTTAAAAAGATAGTGGTAATTGCTAGGCTCCTAAAGTAGGTCCGCTGCACCGCCTGTTTTGCTATTGTGGCTCGCATTCTTGTGGGTATTCTTGTCACAGCAGCTTGGCGGATGGAAGTTTCTCAAGGTTAGTCTCTCCTAATTGCTAAGTTTGCAAGTACTAGTTTTATTACTGCTAGCAAAACTATTGCGTGTGTTTGTATTCGAATTCAAATAGCAAAGCTTCTTCCACACATTGCAGGAGATTGTTCCTTGCGTGATTTTGTCCAATCTGATGTCTCAACGTCTGGCACCACAGCAGGCCAAACAGGTACAATAGTCCCTGTGACTCGAAGATTTCTGCGTCCATCTCTTGACCTTCGGTTCTCCGAGCATACCCTCGAAGCGTTTGCTGAACCAGGTTTCCTTACTCTTGTCTTGCAGCGTGCCTTCTCATCTCTCATCATAGCACATATAGAAGTCTTTTCGTACGTCGCAGGTTTTTTGTGATCTCAAGTGGTGCAAGATGAGTGTCACCTCGGCAAGGCGGCCAGAACTCGTGCCAATTTCCCAGATCCCTCACACTAAGCCCGAAACCCTACACCCAAACCGTCCCCAAACCCGGAAATCTCAAGATATCAAGGTTCCTTGTGCTCACGGAGCAG